GGGCCCCCCCGCGCTGCTGCCGGCCCCGCCGCTCGGGCCCCGCCGCTCGGGCCCTGCTGGGCCCCCGCAGGTGCCTCAGGGGGCCTTGGGGGGGCTGCGGGAGCCGCCGGCCCCTCCGGACAAGGTGTTTGTGTGGGAGCGGCGGAGCTGGGAACGGGGGGGTCTTCGGTCCCGCTGCTGTGTGGGAAAACCGCTCGGCTGGGCTTGTTTCCCCATCTCGGCACCAGGAAAGGGCTGGAAAAAAATGGACTTTAGTTACTTCTTGGGTTTTATCGTCCTTGGTTTTGTTCCGAGTCGGGCCCGATCTCCGTACGTAGGTTGGAGGGAGCTGTGCAGGTGTCAGCTCTGCTTCCCCTGAGCTCGGGAGCCCTTGATCCGGCTTCCTCCTCCTCCCCCAGGGCCTGCCTGCCTCCTGGGACCGGAGGCAGAGCATTCCTGTGCTTCATCTCTGCCTCGTACGAGCTGGGATGCACCTGTGCAGCTTTGGGCTTACCCTTATTGTGGGATAACCTGTTCCTTTAGTGTCATGAAAGGATGTTGGCAAATCGAACTCCTGCTGCAGCTCATGTTTATTTCAAACTAAATCTTTGGTTTAGTTCTTCCATTTAATGCTAAGAAAGTTACAGGAAGGGACTCTGTATAGTGGTGGGTTTTTTTCTATTTTTAGTTGTGTTTTTTTTTCCTCTTTGAAATTGTAGGAAGGATTCCTGCTAGGAGAGGTGAGACAAGAAGAGACATTTAGCATCAGTGATTCACAGATCAGCAACACTGAGTTTCTACAAGTGATTGGTAAGTGACAGAACTTTGAGAAATCCTGAAAGAAGCAGCGTTTCCATTTTCAGTCCCAGCAGTTCAGCAAGAATTACTTCACTTGTGAGACCAGCACATGATGTTCCAGTCTCTCCTGTAGTATTGTTCCAGTCTTTGATGTGTGAAGCATTTTTGAGTTTGTGGCTGAGGTGTGAGGAAAGGAGACAGTCCTTTGCTAGATGTGCTTTCATGCATTTCCTTTTGTGGAAGAAAGATCATTCATTAAAAGCATTTATCTGCATTTTATGGTGGAGAAATTATTTATTTGGCTTTGGTCCTGCAGGGAGTTTCCTGCTTGATATGGTTGCCTAAATACAAGCGTGTGCTCAAAATCAAATTAATTGCATTTCTTGATTTTTTTTCTAACACTGGAAGGAGGCAGATTTCCAGTAGAGGGTTTGGATGGGTGTCTGGTGGTTGATGGCCTCATGAACTGTCACATCAAGGTGTGCTGAGGGATATTTGTGAGTTTGGTGAAGAGCACAGCTTGGTTTTGTTGTGAAAAGTGGAAGAAGAGCTGAGATCTTGCAGTAAAGTATTGTTGGTTGAAGTGGGTATTTCCATACACGAGTGAGAAGCTGTTGCATATTTTATATTTTTAGCTCTGTGGTTTATAGAAAACAGGAAACCTCTGACAGGAAATGCCTTTTTTATCTGTGACCTGATGTTGAAATACATCTAAAGCTTCTTTTAAAAACCAAGCTGTGTACATACCTGGCTCGTGAAGGTGATTGCAGATGGCATGGCAGGGTCTGCAGAAAGCTTAGCTAATGCACAGGCAGCATGTGATTGACTGTCAGATGTCTTTCTGATACAGAACTAAAGATCTCTGGAAGTGTCTTCCATAGGATGTCACATCTCAAGGTACCTGCCACCTTAAATGCTTGTGTATTCAAGAATGCAGGAGGTTAATGGTTTCCTATTCCGGTTATTCCTTAGGGAACAGGACTGATAAATTGGCTGTGTGAAGTGTCAATTAGCTACAATTAATTAATTGAGCTAAATTACCAAAAATAAAGGCATAGGATTGTCTGTGTGTGTGCAATCACTGTCAAAGTGTTGCAGAAAGGAAGGCAGCTGATGGCTTTGTCTGTTGGGACAGAACTAGACAGGATTATTCACTGGTAACTGATATTGTTGACAGTGCAGCACAGTCATGTCACCAGCTGCAGCCTCAGCCTGCTTCCATAAACCAAGTGTTTGAGAATTACTCCCTTTTTAGGTAACTCTTTGTCACGTTCCTGATTGCAGTTATTTTCAGAAAATAGAAATTACTCTCCCGTGGAGATCTTCTGGGTATTTTATTTTGGTTTTTTTTTTTGCTTACCAAATGTTTACTTCCATATTTATTGCTTGCCATTAACTTTTGAACTCCCAGTTAAACTCAGGAACTGAAATTGACAGTTCTGTGGCACTGTTGTCACTGGTGAGTTTGAACATCTTTCTGTGTCTGCTGTCTCAAAGCTGAGGCAGTGGTGGTGTTTGAGTATGTATGTGTGTATGTATATAGTACATACATATAGATACAGATAGATATACATATATGAGTACACCTACATATTTTTATATATACATGTGTGTTTTTTTAATATATATGCATATCTATATATATACACATGTATCTAGCTGGACACATTTAGGCTTTAGGAAGAAATTCTTCACTGTGAGGGTGGTGAGACCCTGGCCCAGGTTGCCCAGGGAAGCTGTGGCTGCCCCATCCCTGGCAGTGTTGAAGGGCAGGTTAGATGGGGCTTGGAGCAACCTGGGCTGGTGGGAGGTGGAGGCCCATGCAGGGGGGTTGCAATAGGATGATCTATAAAGTCCCTTCTAACCCAAACCAGTCCAGGATACAATAAGTCACTGTGTAACACTCAAATTCAGAATGATGGCTGCTTCATACCTTCTGAGCAGCAGGCTGGTTGCTTCCTGTTTTTCAAAAGACAAGGTCTGTGGAGCAACACAACAACCCAAGAATCAAGTATGTATACTCAGTTGTTGTAGTCAGTGTATTTGCTGGAAGGAATTGGTCTAAGCTGGAATAATTGCACATGCTGGCTTTGTTTAGCAGATCATTTCCACAGATTCCTGTTTGAAACTGCAGGGTTGATAGACTTCTAAACAATGCCACGTCAGGAACTGTACCAGCAGCATCCTGCAGGGTTCTTGCCAGTGAAAATGCAGGGATTCTCAGGCAGCATGCCTGCCGTGGATGTCCAAGGCCTTGTTTTGATAGTGGCTTAGTGTGTGTAGTCTGTTGTTCTTGGGAACTGTGATCTGGTCCTGACTCTGCTGAGATTGCAATCGCCAGCAGCCCGTGGCCTGCAGAGCTGCGGGTGGTGAGTCACTCCCCAGGAAGGAAGAGTCTCAACAAAGTTGCTGCTAAACACAACTCCAGCAGGGCTCTGATACAGGAGCTGAGTGCTATATTGCTACAAAAGTGCTAGACAGTCTGAGCAGACGCTTCCAGACAGTTGTTGTGTGGTCAGGGTTTAATAATATTATTAAATAACAAGCTGTATTTGGTGAAAAGAGTACAGTAGAACTTGAGAAGTTCTTACCACCACAAAAAAGGAAGTCCTGCTTGGTGTTAGAGGGATGAAGTGGATTGCTTTTTTGCACTTCTCTCACTCTTCTACAAGATTATTGTCATGTTGCAACCTTTGCTGCTTCACTAAGCACCTCAGAATTTATTACAGCTTCTTTGACAAAAATACATCGGTGGCTTTTTACTGTTTCCTATAACTGAGCTATGAATTACAACTGACCATTCTGGAGTGATTTTTAACTCCTTTTCTCATCATAAACTCTATTTACCTCACCTGGTTAAATACTCCAATGTACAACATTGGAGTGATTCCCTTTCCCATCCCTGTTTTTTTTATCAGATGGTGCTGTAATACACAGTGTATATCAATGCAAGTAAACTGTTGTTGAAAGGTGTATCAAAAAGAAAAAAATACAATAAATACCTTTTTGAGGATGTTACAAGCACAAAATAGTATCAAAACTGTGTATTTGAGGCTCAGGTATGTCTGTGTGTATCTGAGCAAGTGTCCAGCTTGCTTATTGTTAACATATTTTCCTTTGTAAAATGGCAGATGAGGAGGAGAAGCCAGTTTTCCAGGTACGGTGCTGTGTCATCAGGTGGTGTTGAGATACAGAGGACAGTGTGTGGTCTGACACAAATGCTTATTTGCTCAGTAGCTGGGATGTGAAGGTTCCTACAAGGTATGCCACTGTAATTTCAGTTTACCTTGAGCAGTTGGACAAATGTCTCTTTTTGTTTGTTGTTGCAGAAATCCATAACCATGAGCCTTGTTCCAAACTCTTTAGGTAAGCATTTTCTGTTGTCTTCCTGTATTGTCTGCACTACAATAGACAGCTCATGGAAATACATCAGCATTTCACATGTCCCCACCAGTGTTTGCTCATCTGATGACACTAGAGAGACACGTGTAAATGGCAGCAGCCGTGACAATGAAAGCATGAGTTTACACTTTTAGTAGCACTTACCTTAGGTTAAAAAAGGTTGGTGAGGCAGCTCAGTTTATTTCTCCGTCTCCTTGGGTTTGTATCTCATGTAGTGGAGGTGGGATAGCAGTTAGACCAAATAATGTCTGATAATCAGAAGAAATGTAAAGTTAATGTAACCTTAGATTAGCTTTGCATGGATAAAGGACACCCTAACCTTAGTCACTTGCTGTGTTGCCAGGTTGTTGCTTTTACTGACTAATTATTCTGAAACTTTCAGCTTACTAGTTATTCTTGCTTTCTGGTCTCCTGCACTCCAGAATTTAAATTGAAATCTATTATATTCTATTGAGCATCTTCCATCTATTAGTTCATAGCATTTTTTTATAGTCTTCACTTGCTATAGAGTGATGGCTTCTAAATTGCTGTCCAGAAATTAATTTTAGAAGGAGTTCCAAGTCAATCTCCTCTTGTTTTTATGTAGAGATTTCCAACCAATTAAGAAAACAAAATACCTAAGATATTATGATGGACATTAGTTACATGAGAGAGAAAATCTGCTGTCATTTGCTACCTGGTGATTCCAGGGAGGGTGCTCTTAACCCAGGGATTCAAATGCTAGAGACTGTACAGCAAGATAATATCCCAGTGTCTGCTAGACTCTTTCTGGTTCCTGGTGATGCTTTGTGTAGCACATACCAAAACTGATCATGTTTACTGCTTCTCCACAGTCAAGAAATTGGTTGTTAGTAGCTGAGATGATGGAGGAGGGGGGAGAGGTCTGGGTTTCACTGCATGGCTGCTGCACAAGAGCACTGATGGTTAATTTACTTCAGAGCACAGGGGAAGCTCTCACAGGTCATGCAGCCTTTAACAGTACCAGAGCGTGCTGCTGGTTTCTCTGTTCCTTTAGTTGGAGCAGATGCTGATTTTAGGGCATTCTCCCTTATTCTTTTCACTTCAGTGTAGCCAGTCTGAGGGAGGCACATTGCTCATCCACTCTGTTCTTGGAAGCTGGCACTGCTGGTGTGAAGGATAGGCTTGGTTGCAGTGCTTTTGCCAACATGTGGGAACTGAGTAAGAAGCAAGGATTTTAAAAGAGCTGATTTCTCTCTCTGTGCAGTTTTCAAATGGAGTGTTCTGTTCAGTACTAGTTGTTCATTCTATAAAAAGAATATTCTTGTAGATCCTAGAAAGAGAAATAGATATCCACTACTTATAAGAAGATATAAACATTCCAAACATTAATTGAACAGATTATGCAAATATTATGTAGAATCTCACATTAGTAGTTAGTTGTAATCTTAACATTCCAAATAACCTGCATCTTAAAACAATTTCTATTTCCACCCTTATTTACCAGCCAAGTACTGAGCTCAGGATTTTTTGTTGTGGTTTTTTTACCCCCCCACACAAGAGCTTAGATTATAGACCTCTAAAACAGGGTGTTTTCCTACAATACTTTAGGTGTTAGTGATACCAGCTCTTGAAAGGGACCAAGGACTTGGCAGGTAAGTCAGGGAGGAATCTGTTTTCAAACGTTTTTCCTTTTATCATGAAGTGTGATCTACTTAATTTATAAACCTGTCTGTGTAGATAGATATATAAATTCTTAAATCTGTCCTGTCCTCAAAAGAATAACTTGTCAGGGTTTGAGCCTCAGTTCTGTAATCAGAGCCACACAGAAAGACCATGATCCTTTGGATCCTTGCTAACCTCAGTCTAACTGGTTTGGCTTTGAGGGTCCAATTGCAGGACTGAAGCTTAAGAAATTGATTTGTAGTTGCATGTAAAATGGCCCTGCTTTCCTTTCTTCTTTGGCAGGTAGCCCTTTTGTTATCAAATCAGGGTTTTACCGAATGGTAGTCAAAATAAAATGACACAGACCATTTGTGTATGTACCCCTTTTTGTAGGGCCTAGCAGTGAAATAGTAGGCATCAATCTGATGTCTGCAAAGAAAGCATTTTAAAACTAATAATGTTGTAATTCATTGCTAGTGGTTTAAAAAAGGTTAAGGTTTTTGCAGCAGCTAGTCTTATGCATCTAGGTTAAATGTGAGCAGCTTCCTCTGTCTGTGAGCTGTGCAGTTAGACCTGGACTGGCTGTGCTCTACGTGGCACCTAAATTGGATATCTCAAATAGGCAGTGTGAATACTGAAACACTGACCTGTGTTGATAAAGGTAAAACCGTGGAAGTTCTTACTATGATGTCTAGAATTCTATCTATGCAAAGAACACAAAGAGTAAATTATCTGCTGTATGTATCGTGTGTTTGTAAACCGTGTACCTACCTTTCTCTCTTCCTTTTTTCGTTCAAGCTTTTATGACTATGCAGGCAAGGTTAATGAGGAGAGTTTGGACAGGATTCTTAAAGACCGAAGAAAAGTAAGTTTTCTGTCTTTTCATCCTCTTCTAGTCATTAGAGCCTGTAATGAAAGAGAGCAATTCTGGAAAACAAACAAGGTTGGCAACTGGAAGAAATACTTGCTTTCACAAATCTGATCGTTTGTTTTGACCCAATGCTTATCCTGTACAGAATGTGGTACTAAGGTTAAACTGGGGACAATGTCTAAATTCCCTGAAGAAATGCAAAAGATTGAAGTTCAGGCCTCCAAAAGTGAAGGACCAGTATTGACCCTCTAAAATTCCTGAGCTAAACATGTAGCATAATGGTTGTGTGCTCTGCTGCTGGAACCAAGAACAATGGAGCTGCTCTGAAAAGCTGTTCTGAAGAGTTGATTTCAAAGAGTGGTCATGATAAAGCCTTGTAATTGCAATTTTTGCAGTGTCAGTTTTACACTGGAAAAACCTGTGTCAGTTATCTCAGAAGTTGCCACAGCTTTATGCCATGTCTGTGTTATTAGCAGCACAACTGGTATTAAGATTAAATTTGAGTAGTTACATGGAGGAGAGTCAAAGCCTTTTTCAGGGTTCCATCTTGTTCCCTGTGTGAATACACTGCCCTCTGATCATCAGATGGTTACTTCAGAAGCTCTCCTGAGCTGACACTTTGAAGAGCAGAGCTGAAGGTCTAGTTTTTATGTAGTGAAGTGAATCAACCAGTCAGCTTGCTCTGGCAAAAGCACACTAACTGACCTGCATGGTTAAACTTATGGCAGTGGTGGACCCTGTTAGACCCGTTAGAAAAGCATCACCAGTGCTTGAATTTGGCTCACAAGGTCTGGTTAGTGCCAGAGCTAGTACAGGGTTGGTGTGGTTAAAGCAAGACCTTTTTCCTTGCTTAATTTATTCTGCAAAACAGCAGCAAACCCATGTCATTCCAGTTGCTGGTTGTATTTCACTAGTGGCCTGTTGGGTTTGGGGATTTCTGTCCTTAATTTTCCCTGCTCTGGTCTGAGTAAGAAGGTCTACTTTGTGAACCCATCATCTTCATGCAAAGTGTGTGATGACAGTTTCCCAACTGCAAACTGAATTTGCAGTCTTGACTTTCTCTTCACCTCACCCATCTGAATTGTGGGCTTTGCCTTACAGACAGGGCTTAAGTTGAGAAGGGATCTTTAGGGAAGCAAGTCTTAAATCTGTGCAGCTGCTGCAACACTGATGTTATTTGTGTGTGTGTGTGTTTCTTCTAGCAAATGTCCTCAGAATAAACACCTCTGTATATACAAATGTATTGATGCTTAGTGCAGAGGTGCTTTGTGTATTTATACATACAGACATGTACATCTTTATGGAGTGAGTTACTAGTCTCAGATCCTGAATTCTGTAACCCCCTAACTCTATTCCAGCATACTAAGTATATTAAGTTCCCCTTCAGGAGACAAGTCAAACACCATCATTTAAAAAGATTTCTCTCCTGCTAGATTTCAGTGGAATTTTACTTTGTTAGGACCTACCTTGCAGGAAGACTCTGGCAAGGTGCATCATCTGTGGTGAAATGAAAACACACAAGTGTAATGTGATTAAAGCACCACAGATTTAATGACATTAATTTTCATAACTTCAAAAAAGAAATACTACTGTCTGGGAACCAAGACAGTCTTGTATTCTCTTTTGTTAGCCAGTAAGCACATTTTGTTACAATCAGACTAAGTGATTGTACAGAATTATTGTAAAAATTTCAGAACAGTGCTTCCATTTTTTGGAATGTTGCTGAATCTGCTCTATTGCACTGAATATATACCTGCAGTCCAAATGCCTCACTACCCAATAAGGCTTCTTTTTTGAACTCTTCTTAAACCAAATTTTTCATTATGTGTCCTTTTTTCATTAATCTCTTGAATGAAATGTTATTTTACATGAAGAAAAGGAGTTTAATGCATGTTGTATTAGAAATAATAATTGAATTAGAATGGGTCTTATCTGATGTGCATATGAATCTTTCACAATTAAATACACAATGAGATCATTGTGTTGTTCTACACAGCAGAGTCCCATACATGACCAGACATGAATTTGCAAATAGGTTTGTGAAGAGAAGTGTCTTACAAATCAATACAAGTGAAGAAGCAGTTGAAATATTTAGACTAAAGAGAGCCTACATCTGCTCAAGTCTAATAATTTGAAGATGCTCCAAAATTTGATGCTAAAATTAAATGATTGAAGTGTTTCTGAAGTGGAATCCTGAATGGCATTGAAGACACACAGGTGTTTGTAGCACAGTAAGGCTGAGCAATTAATAGTCTTGTTGGAACAGGATGTCTCTTGGGTTATTTAACAGGTGCAAGCCTCTAGTAATTCAGTCCAATTTCCTTGTAATAAAGCTATTGGCTAACTATGTGAGCAACTTTATTGTCAGACAATAAACATGTATGTCTGCTAATACTGTGGTTTTTTTCTGATGTACTTTTATTACAGAACGTTATTGGATGGTACAGATTTAGGAGAAACACTCAACAGCAAATGTCTTATAGAGAGCACATCATCCACAAGCAGCTGACACACATTCTTGGAGTGCCTGATCTTGTCTTCCTCCTCTTCAGCTTCATTTCCACTGCAAATAACTCAACCCATGCTTTAGAATATGTGCTTTTTAGACCAAACCGAAGGTAAGAAATCTGTGTAGATGAACCAGTCCTCTTTTTAAAATTATTATTCTTATTGCTGTTCTTTATGCTATAAATTGTATTAAGATTTATACAGTCACATGTAAGGAAAGCTTTGTGTTTGTCAGGTGATGTCTTGCAGTACAATGGTTAGTCACAAGAGCTTTTTTTTCTGTGCAAGTCATTTATAAATTAAAGTTTTGGGGGGAGTAAAAGTTCTTTTCAGTCTTTAAGCCTTCAGATAACTACCAAAAAAAGTATATTTTAAGAGAAATCAGATACCACTGCCATGCTTGTTATTATGGACTTGAATGTAGCTTCACCCTTCTTATATCTGAAGTAGTTTGAATGCACAATTGAAAGGTTCTAAGAGGTAGGTCCATCTCGAGGGAGTTTTTGGTATGCATTTATTTTGAACACAGCTTTGAATATTTAGCAGCTTTTATAATAAACCCAACCCACAAGCTGTAAAATTAGATGAGCTCATCAGAGAGATGGCATCATATCAAGGCTATTGTAAATGATCTTTCTGAGCATGAATTAAGAAGTCTTTCTAAACTTTCTCTACAGGTATAATCAAAGGGTGTCGCTTACTATTCCTAATCTAGGTAACACTAGCCAACAGGAATACAAAGTTTCTTCAGTGCCAAACACTTCTCAGAATTATGCCAAAGTTATTAAGGAACATGGGTAAGCATTTTTCCTTTGCAAATGAAGTACAGTCACCAATTCTATATTCTTGACCTTCCAAAGAATAGTACAAATATGCATTTCAAGCAGGAGAAACCCAAGTTCTGCAGGAAAATGGTCTGTTCCCACTGCATTAGTTTTTAAAGTAATTTTGATTAAATGCTGTAAAGGCAAGGTAGCTTTTCTGACTGTTAACAAAGAAATTATATAAAATTAAAGATTTCTGCACATGTTTAATCTCATTCAAAAGGGACTTTGTTCTTCCAGAAGGAATTTTGGTGTTTAATATACTGCTGTCCCAATTTTGGTTCTTGGGTGTATGGTATGGTTTTTAGTGATATGAAATAAAATACATGTTAGAGCAAAACTGCTAAGAGTGCTTACCAGCAATTCAGAGACAGCATGAGCTAGAAATTTGTGTTGTTCTTTCTAAGTAATAAATTCTCCTTTTTTTTTTTTTAGTACTGATTTTTTTGACAAAGATGGAGTGATGAAGGACATCAGGGCTATATATCAGATTTATAATGCACTTCAGGAAAAAGTACAGGTAACTTCCTTTGCTTATTATTGATCCATATGTATCTGGTGTCTTTTGTTTGTCCTTTGCTTAAACTAGAGGATGGGGACGGAGATTTTTAGAGCTCATCAACAATTTATTACAGGCTGTAGGGGAAAGAAGTCTTGACTTTCTTTAACAATGTGTCAGCTTCTAGTTAGTGTGTGCATTTGCAGTGGCTGCTGTAAAAGTGGTTGTTGGGAATATCATCCATTTTTTCTCTTTTGCAAGTAAGAATGATGTAATGCTTAGTGATTTCTGGGAGAGGTTAGCTATTTTTAAGAGTATGTGTTGAAGAAAAGCCTTACTGAAGGCTGGAGGAAGTTGCACAGGTTTAGAGGCTTGCCTGTGTGAGTTTAAAAATGATTCCTGGCTCTTGGTATGTACCATGCAGCAAAGAGCTCCATCTGTTAGTTAAAACTTGTGAATATTTTGTGTAGAGCATGAGTGAATCCTGCTCCAAATGTGGCAAAGCATCTGAAAAGTGCCTTGAGTGTCACATCTCCTCAGTGCAAGCTTGTCAATTCACAGCTTGTCCTATGTGAAGAGCAGCGTAGCTGTGCTGCCTGGGGAGCACACACATCTGCTAATTGTGCTTCAGTCACAGCTTATTCCCAGGCTTTCCCTTTACATCTGCCCTGGAGGGATTCGTGTCTCAGCTCCAGCTTAGCTTTGCTGGTTGGCACGTACAGCAGAGAACAAGGCAGGAACCTCCAGTCAGTCATCCCTGACCCTGCTTATTCAGGAAGGCAGCTATTTCTAACCTGCCTTGTGAGGTGGGTGGCTTGGATCCAGGAGGCAGGCAGCTCTCATGCCACCTTCAGGACACATGAAAAACTCTTTTCAGAGGGTGTCCCATTAGCTAAGGTGTTATTCTGTAATGCTTTTTTTTTTTTTTTCCCAAGAGCACACACCTCCCTTCATGCTCTTGCTGTCTGGAAAATAAGAAAATGTATCATCATCAGGGAGTTGCCTTCACACCTGTTAAAACTCTGACTCTTTGTAGTTGTGGTGCTGTTTACAGACCTTAAGAGAAACTTAGGTGTTAGCTAACTTTGGAGGAGCTCTTATCTTTAAAGTGACTTTCACGAAGAACATTTACAGGACTGGAAAAAAAATTTCTGGTAAAGCAGCTGAGCCGTGTATTTGTGTTACCAATTAGTTGGGAGAAGAGGGTTCAAACTTTATAAACTTCTCAAAATTAGATCTAGAAATGAAAACATAGTTTTTCAACTCAGGTGAGATCAGTAACCTTTTGGAGAAAAGCTGTAAATAGCTGGTGATATCAAGACTCATCAGTGCTTGTAGAGCTGTGTGCTCTTCAAAACTGATTGTGTTTAAGGATAATGACCCATACTTAGTTTCTGAAGAAGTAAACAATATCCAGTATAACATGCTCAGATTAAAAAAGCAATCAATATTACCCTGAGCTGCTGAGAACAGTGTATTTAAAATTTAAAAATAAAAATCTCTTCCATCAAGTAGGAAGAACTGTCTTTGGATTTTACTACAAACCTTTCTATAATGGTAAGTGACTTGGAAATGCTTTTCTTACCATGCAGCAGTTGGGAATTGCAACAACCAGTAAAGAAAATGATCTTCAGGTTGAGTATTATAGTCTGATATTTTCAAGTCCTGCTCTTTAGTTCTGTGTTTTTAATTGCATCTTGTCTGGTAGTAGCTTTATTAATGTTCTCATGGAAGTCTTTCATGTTTTTTTGCCAAATCTTAGCAGATCTTTTGTTTTTCTCCTAGGCAGTGTGTATAGATGTAGAAAAAAGTGAACGTGTCGTTGAATCTTTTCAAGCTGATGTAAACAAGTTGAAAAGGCAAATCGCACAAAAGAAAAATGAAAAAGAACAAGAATTAAGTAAGTTTCCTTTTAATTTTTTCTTGGTTTGCTTCAGAAGCAGATGCTGTAGGGACAAAAGGCTTTGTGAAAGTATTTTGAGTTGCTTTCCTGATGGCAAAACCTAAAAACCCCACATTGGGAAGGGGTATATGATGGGTTTATGTTGAATGATAACTGAACAGTGAAAGTACGTGTACTGCAGGTATTTTTGTGAGAGTCATCCAATGTTAGCAAAATTAAAACACAGGAGAGAGACAAAGCTGAAGAATGAGAAAGTAATTTTGGGAAATAACACAGGGAAAGATTGGTTGTAGGAGAGGAAACGTGGAGCAAAGCCAGGAAAGGGAAAAAGCAAATGTAACCACTGGGGACATTGCTTTTTGAAGTATCATAGTTACAAGGTACTGAGTTAACAGGCTAGTAGCTATCCACTTGAAATCTATATTCCCTTTCCCACTCCCCGACTCTTATCCCCAAATACAATCCCAGCACAATTAAATTAAAATTCAGTTATATTTCTGGACACCAGGCAAACTGGGTGAAGTAAAATCAATGCTTAAGTGATGAACTTTGATGTAGATCATGATTTTTGATCTTGCAGCTTTTAGTGGATGTGTCAGTTTTTTTCACCACTGATTTAGAGAAGACCACCTACATTTTTATCTTCCTGTCCCACTTCACAGTTACTGAATCCTAATTTAGTCAGCATTTTTTTTCATTATTTGCTGACTGTGTGGTGAGCATAATTAGCACTGAATTAACGCTTTTCAGTGTTGAACTAAATCTTCCCTAAAAACTCATTTTGCAGTCATTCCTGTCTTCAGAAGTACTTGCTAGAAAGTGGAATAAATTACTTAAATGCAGAATATTGTTGGAATTTGCCTGTCTATTTCAAGTACTGTATCACATAGTTTGATCTGTCAGGCCACTTCTCTAAGGTTTTTCCTTCTCCAGCCTCAGAGATAAGGTAAGAACCAGCACCAGCCACAGACCATTTGAAAGATGGAAGTGACACAAGTTGCTGCCGTTTCCTGCTTGACTGTAGGTGAAACAGCCTGGGAACTGCTACTACAAGAGCTAATGAGAAGTGGAGATGGGAATGTAGTGTGACTGGAGCTGATCCCAGCCCATATGGCAAAAGCTGGGGGAGGAGGAAGAGCAGTCAGTGCTGGCCTCTGATACTGCTAGTGAGATGCAAATGCTGGCCTGAGAATTTATGCCAGAGCAGATAATCATGTGAGAGGGCTGAAACAAGAAGACATGCAGCTGGTATCTCTAGTGTATTTAGATTTATGTGGCTAAATACTGAAGCTGGCCTTCTGTTCTCCTGCTTCCTCAATATTTGAGAATTTTCTTGCTTTTAGTGAGTTAACTGTTCTAGTCAGTGGCTCTCTGAGCCGGAGGAAAATGGAGCACTTGATTTCAATGCCTGCAGTAGTATTGTGTTTAAGCTTGTTACTGTGGCACATTTTTGGTGAACAGGTTATAACTATAACACTGTCATGTAAAAGTCAGTTGAGACTTGGCTTGCCAGAACACTGGAATAATTTTGCCCATGTATGAGCATGTTCTAGGGAATAGTGAGTGCTGTGCACTTCCCAGGTGCCAGGAAACCTCCCACTACAGCTCTAATATCATGGAGTAAAAATGGAGTGCTGTTACTTAGCCACTTGAGGGAGTACCTAATTTTTATTTGTGAAGATATAGCTAATTGACTTATTAAAGGAACTCTTCAGCCTTGATGTTTTTGCTTTTTTCCAGCAGCTTGGTGTTACAGTTAGTAGAGCTGATACCATTTTGTCCATTGCCTAGCTGCAAGCCAGCTTTAAATATACCAGTGTATATTAGGGTGTATATTAGTTAGGGTTAGGGTTAGACAGGTGTTTGGAAGTTAGTAACCAGTTAGAAACCAGGAAAAAGCTGAAGTCTCCCCCAGTGCTTAACAAACCTTCCTGCAGGGAAGTTTTTCTTCCTGTCTAATGTGTACTATTCTCAATTAAGCTGCCTTCTGCTTTCTGTTCCACAGCAGCCTCTTATGTACAGTTGAAGACTTAAATTATTCCAGTCTTTCCTTTTCAGTCATGATATCTAGACCTCTAATGAGACCTTCTCTTTTGTGCAGTTTCTCGAGGTTTTTTCCTATTTCTCAAACTGTGATGTTTAAAAATACAGTGTTCTAGTTGTAGTTGTAACCATTACAGTAGGTACTAAAATACTACTTGCCTGTTTCTCAGCAGCTGAGCACACTTAATGCATGTTGATATTTATAGTTTACATAAATCAAGAGTAAGCCTGTGTTGCTTGTCAGCAGAAGGATGTAACCATTCCTCATTTTGCCATTTGTACAGTTCATTGTTCCTTTGTGTGTCTGCCTGAAATTATTTTCCAAATCATCTCATGTTAAGATCACTTTGAAATTCCTGTTCTAATACTCTGTTATACTTGCAGCTATTACTGGCATGGAACCATCTGTAATTTTAATAAGCATTGCTGGTTGAATTCCATCATTGAGGTTGTTAGTGCAAGTGTATTTCCAGTTCTAGGGCAGAGCTGTGAGAGCCTCATCTTGGCACATCTTCATCATCATAGTGCTTATGTTACTGCTTATTCATTATGAAACATGGAGATGCTTTGAAATCCTTGAAGGGAAGGTGTATCTGTGGCTTTTGGTCTTGCTTGGGTGGTTAAAACCACGTGAACTAGAAAAAGACCTTGTCCTTAATGGGCAAATGTATTTATAGCACCTATCCAAGCCTCCAGTTGTGTAAATAAAAGTTAGATCATGGAAGTGGTGGGTTTATCCATTGTATGTGGCTTTTCACAGGGAACAGATGTCAGTGATGGTGTCTGACCCTTCCAGCTCTGGTGAGCAGCATCCCTTAGCAGCCTCACACTAGTGCCAGAGCCCTGGGTGTGGATCGCTGTGCCAGGGACCTAAAAACACAGGCTGGAAAGGTGGTTCCTGCTCAGCCAGCTAGTTAGCAGTCTCAGTGTGAGGTACCATGTGAGAGTACAGCTGTTTTGACCAGCAGAAGGTGAGCGTTGTACACTGTGGTCTCAACAGCCTGCTGGGCTCATCACAGGCATTGGGAGGAAAAGGTTTTAAAATCATAATTTGAGGGAAGCAGACAAGATAACTTTGCTGGTGTTCCTGAGGTTGTTCCCTAGAACCAGGAGCATTCAGGGAAAGTAGAGAAGTGATTTTGAGTTTTAATATCACAGTAGAAGTGAAGTACTGTTGTTCCAGCGAACTTGAGTCAAGCTTTCAGTACTGAATAAGAGAAAGGTGGAGAGGAGCAGGCACAAGGAGCTCTTCCAAAGCTACTTTTTGATGTGAGAAGGAATTAAGAAATAGAGAAGATGAGGTGGAAAGAGCAGCAGGTTCTGGGAACTTCGTGTAGCTGGTTTTTTTTAGGGAACTTAAACTGGAGGAAATGAACTGCAGAGGATGACTTTGCACAGAAAAATGTAGCACACTTGCACTTGGCTCATCTGCTTTCTGAACACATTTCGGTTTTGAAATAGGATCAGTAGGATCCACAAGTTCCACTAACACTGATCATTTGATGGATGTACTGCTAAATTTAGGGAAGTGTGGTGTGTTGCAGCCAGGTCATGTAAAACATTGCAGAGCAAGCATTAAGTGCACTGATTTTCTTTGCTTTTGTAGGAATGCAGCAAGCAATTTTAAGCAGGCAAATGCCAACAGATAACTTGGAACCTATGTTTGTTCCACGAATGTCCTACACTGGATTTGCTGTGGAAGGCTGCACGCTTGAAGATTCAGATGTCTCTGATCCTCCCCCTCCATATTCTGATTTCAATGCATCCAATCAAGAAAGTACTGTCAGTCATGGTCTCCTCGACAGCAGTGTTTTTATGCCTCGGCCTCAAGCAGTAGGTTCTTCCAGTTATGTTTCCACAAATGCAGGATTGAAATATTCTGGTAATGGAGCATCCATGCCATCTTCCCAAAGAGCAGTTGGTGACAATATTGATGAATCAGAAGACAGTGATTATGAAAATTTGCTTGAACCTACAGAGTCATCTGACAGTGAATACTCACAGACAAGGGATTCACGACCTGCAGCACATCCCGATGGAGATTCCAGGAACACTCAAACTTCTCAGATTTGATAGGGGGAGGGAAAAGAAATCCACATGACACTGTTTTTTCATTTGTTCCAGAGAGATTTTGGGGATTTGACCTGGAAGAAATGAACTACACAGGATTTCTGTGCACACAAAATGTAGAAGACTTGCACTAGAGGGTTTATTCACCTTGTGATACATTTTGCAAGTTTTATAATGGAATCATTAGGATAATCAAATTGTACCAATACTGGTGAGCTTCATGGATGTACTGGTAAATTTAGGCAAAATGAAATTTATAGAGAACTTGTAGCTTTTGTTGCCGTATTCTCTTTAAGACAATAAATTGGGATGTAGTAACTAAGCACAGCTAGTCTACAAATGATGTTCTCAAATCAAAACTTACCTCTTGCACTATCATGCCTTGAATTTTAATTTTGGAAAGGGAAGAATTGTATCATCAGCCGCCTTCAAAATAGCTTTTTGTGGTAAGCCAAGTTGGCCTTTGCAAGCAGAGGAATGTTGGTAACTCTGAGAAGCCTGACTGGAACAGATGTGGTCTACCTTCTTCTATCAGCATGCTCTTTTACCAGAGAAGGGGTTTGTTTCAACCTGTTTTTTACTAGCAGAATGTGTGTATCACTTCAAATGATGGTTGCCTTTTTTTCTGTAAAGGGTGTTGGGGGGGGGGGGGGGG